AGTTAGCTCATCAATGGGAGGCAAGCACTTTAAGAGAGAAAAATCAATGTTGCCATTATTTTTTCTGCAGCCCATAAGGGAAACAGTCTTGAGTCATAATCAACCTTACTGGCATCAAGATATTTTCTTCCTTATTCCGTCATCCAAGATTAGACTCAAGGTGTTAAGTTTCGCCACTCTCCACCTTGAACAGGAGGTGGTTAATTCCTATTTCTGCCATGGTGCCCCAATTGGCTGATGTTTTCTTGCTCTGTGGTGTTATACAAGTACTTAAAAGGGAGTATATCAAAGTCAGTCAGGAAAACCAATCACTTAGCTATTACAACGGTGTACTCACCATTTAGCAGTGACTCTGAAGAAATGCAGTAGGGAAAGGACAGAATTTGACTATAAGAACAGCATTTGTGCTGGCATTATTTTATTCTTATTATATTATTATATTGTGATGATTTACAGATGGATGGCTTGCAGTTCAGTACTGGAGAAAGACTCTACATCAGGGGTGTCAAACTCAATTTCACTGAGGGCCGCATCAGCATTGCGGTTGCCCTTGGGGGGGGCTGGGTGGGTGTGGCCAGAGTGGGTGCGGCCTACTAGGTGGGTGTGGATGGAGTGGGTGTGGCCTACTGGGTGGGCGTGACCAGTTCTACATCATTCGCGTCAAGGGTGCCTGTGGGGGCCTGGGCAGGAGTGGGACAGATCTGAGGGTCTCTGGCAGAAGGGGGTGGGACCAGGGCAAGTGCCAAGGCATGGTCCACCGAGGCAAGTGCCAAGATGGCCACCACAAAATTGTACATTGGCTCCCGGCTGGCCTGGGCCAGGGCCAAGGCAGCCGGGGCCGTTCCCTCACTGTTTCCAGGATGGCTTCGCGGGCCACATGAAACCACTTTGGGGGCCGCATCCGGTCCCCGGGCCTTGTGTTTGACATGTCTGCTCTACATTGTCAATTGCTCCATTGGAATGACAGTAGTATTTTGGATGCACTCTTAAATCTTCAGCTCCTAGAAGAAAAGTGAGAGATTATTTCCACGTAAATAAAAGGTGACAAAGCATTAACATTTTGAAAATGATGAAGCCGTGATAAGGTGGCATTGGCTGAAAGGTAAAAAAAAAATACCACTATTATTCCAGAATAGCTAATGATAGTTCAGAGCCTTTCAACATTCCTGAATTAAAGTACTATCCATTCATTCTTGAGTTGGCAGGAGGGGGGGGAGAGAACAGCATGAAATTTGCTGCCTGCCAATCTCTATTCTGCCTCTACTGTGTCTGTTGTAACTCACTACTGAATGGTGCTATCCCAATGTTGTATGTGTGCACAGCATACAATAAGCACAGCTACAGTTTGGGTTGACTCTCCTGTTTACTTTCCTCTGTTCTTGTATGTAGCCCACCAGCCAGCCAGGAAATCTGCCAATCATAGCATTGCAGCAGAATCTTCCTTCCTGGGCTCTTTCCTGTGTCCATCCTCCTATACCCATCCTGTCATGATATAAGGTGGATAAAAAAAAAAGACTGGAATTGTGAAAAGAAATCAGTCCCAACCACTACTTTAAGATTCTTCTCTCCTTCATTTTTTTTCTTTATAAAGACAATAAATGCCAGATTCTGAATTTCTCTGTGTTTTATCCTTCAGAGGCAAAGGGGCAGAGTGGGCTGTCCTGTCATTGCACTCCTTTGTTCTTTTAGGTCTGCACAAAACCAAGAAGGGCCGCAGAGTTAAAGTACTCACAGTTCTGTGCGCTGAGCACTCTGGCATTATCACGCAAGTCTGACAGGTTGTCAGCACTGGGTTTACCTTTTTGGGAGTCAACTACATGAGGTTAATCAGGGAAAAGGAGGAGCACTCCAACATTAGCCTGAAACAGCCACTATCAGCTGTTTTGATCCCATCCACTGCTGATTACCTGACTTAAATCTCCAAAATGGTGAAGTATAAAAGATTTTAGACAAATTATGGCTACTGTTAAGATGCTGGAGAGCTTGAGGGAAAAACCATTACTTCAACATCAGTTATAGCTAGACAACTTAAAACCATTTCACTTCAGATCAAAGCAGCATCAGGAGACAGGAAAGGAAAAATATGTTGTCAGGGCATGTTTGTACACAGTTAGACATGCAAGAGGAATACCCTTTATCAGTAGTGGGCAAAGGCCCAGAAAGAAAGAGAGCTGAACTGAAAGAGAGCATGGGAATAGCCATGAGCCATCCTATGTGTTGAAAGGGTATGGCAACAAAGTTAGAAATCACCTTGATGATAGTGGATGTTATCAGTGGAATCAAGGTACTACTTGTCAGTGATTAAAGCAGTGACCAAAGGACAGGAGTTCACAATGGGAGAGCCAATTCCATGCTAGCATTGTTTGGTGCCCACTCAGTAGCAATGCAAGTTCTTTTATTGTGTTGTCAGTTAACCAGATGAAAACACTGAGTTGTAAATGAATCCAAAACTAAGTATATTTAGCAGAGTAAACTACCAATGGGCATTAACAGTAAACTTCACCTTCTCTGTAAATCCTCCATTTTTTCTCAAAATAATCTTTTTTTTCAATTCAGTCATCCATACCTGTGACTGGGGAACTATATTAGGATATAGTGGCATGTTAATCTAGTAAACACAGGACTTTTTAAGTGGTGGCGGCCCAATATCCCCTTTACTAGCATTCAGAAGTATCTTTAAAATTTTATCCCAGGCTCACTTTTAATTAAACGTTGCACTCTACAGGCTTTGTCTATTGTTTTGAACTGCTACTGTTCTGAGTGTCTGGCTTGTGGCATACAATAATTATGTTTGGCTTTAAATCGTCCTTGAGAAGCCTTTGTGATGAAAGGCATAGAAACTCTTGGAAGGAACGACACAGGATCCATCATAAATAAAAAGTCAAAGCCCACAATAATCTTCCCGAATTACCCTCCCCTCTTCTCTCTCTCTCTCTCTCTCCACAACGCAGGGCCTGGAAAAAATCTTAACAAAGAAACTTTGTGATGCTTTGTACGTGAGGCGGCTTGAAAGGAAGCGTGGTTTCTATGCCTGGCGTTGGATGAGGCGGGGGGGGGGGGAGAGAGTGGAAGAAGGGACCTCCATGGCTCTGCCGCGCAATGGCACGTCTTCCTCCCCGCTTGCTTCTGGAGGTGTGAGTGGATTCTCTCAACTGCATTTTGACAGCTGGGAGCAAGAGAACCGCGGCGGCGGCGGCGGCTTTAGCAGCTGAAGACATTCCTCCCTGCGCTGCGCTGCCCCTCCTCCTCCGGGAAGTAAGCTCGGCCCGGCCCTTAACCTAGAGCGCCGGGACCGAACCGTCTGCTCTTTCTCCTCCCTCTTCGGCTCGCAACTTCGCTCGCGCTAGCCAGACAGGCCCGGGAAATCCGCATCGCCTTTCCCTCGCAAGTGCAGCGCTGGAGGCAAGAAGTTGGTTGGAGTGTCTGATGAAATTTCCCAAGTCGGTTGCCGCAGCTTCAACGCAGGGAGGCGGGAGAGGGTTAAAAAAAAGGCGCGCCCCCGCCGCCCATCACCGCCACCTGCTTTTCCCGCCTTCCTCTAAGCAAATGGCGAGGTGGTTGGTTGGTTGGCGGATTTGAATCGATTATATCGATAGTTTGCAGTTAGCGGCCGCCGGATGACTCAGCCGGAAGCCTTGCTTTGGGTGAGAATCCGAGGTGGGACCACTTCGCCGTCCTTAGGTTTCAATTGCTTCAGGTTCCATGCGGACCGGGAAAAAAGAGGGCAGGTTTCTTTCTTTTTTTTAAAGCAAATCCGTCAATATAAAACAGAGATGATGCAACGACTGCGGTGGAGTTACAGAAGAAAGGGTTTCATCAGTTCCTGCCCCCCTCCCCAATAATCCGCAGGCCTGCAAACTGAAATCCTCGTGACCGGGAGCGCGGTAAGATCGGGGATGGAGAAGGTTCAATATGGAGCAAACCAACTCTTTTTTTTTTTTTCCTCCATTGGAACACGTTCCATCTTTATTTTTCCATTCAGCAAAAAAAAGGCACAAACCCTCCCACCCGCTATCAGGGAGAAGGGAGCAGGAGTTCTGGGCAGTTATAAACGGCTCGTGCTGCCAACTAAGTTGTAAAGCAAATGAATCCAGATCATCAAAGGACTTAAGCCAGGCTGCTGATATCAACCTGGGCGTGCATGAGCATTGTGCGCGCGCGTTTCCCAATTTAGAGTCCTCTGTATCCGACCCAGAAACTCAAGTGGATCTCAAAATGAAATCTCGGCTGTCTTTCCCTTTTCAGAGCAACACGAGCAGATTGCAAATGCTTTAGGATCCTCTTGCCACCATGTGCTCCGTCTCGTTCGAAATTGGATCTTCGCAACCTACCCCCGGGTCGCGCCTTTGCTATTCGTACTGATTCGGTTTGCTGTTACGCGAGACAAGAGAATCTTCCATTTACCTAAAGAAATTTCTCCTAAATTAGCGGCCTTTGTCTACCTTAGCAATTTTTTTTTTTTGCTAGCATCACCGGTGGGTATGGTCTGTACGTGCGTACAGAGAGGGTACACTGAATAAATGGGGGAGGGGGTTTAAATCGCTCCGGATCCTATTCTCTCTTCCACTGCAATAGCGTGGCTTTTCCCGCCGATCTTGCATTCGATGCAGAGCACTTGGCTTTGTCGTGATCTACTTAGCGCGGCCGCTGCTGCTTGCCTTTGCAACCTGCAGTTGGATGCAGCAACTTCGCATCCCGAGATATAACCGTGGCTCCCTCGAGTGCGTAGTAATACTTTGGGGAGGCCACGCCCCCGAGCGTGGTGTCAGAGTGAAATAAAGGCTCGGGTTGGCGGACAACATCTGCTGGACTCCTTCATTCAAGTGACACCCGAGCTTTCAGACGTATTTGAGGAACCCTCCGTTGCCTTTCCGGGCCAGTTTCAGTACTTCTAGCAACGCCGTTCGCTTCGCCCAGGCTCTGCGTAGTTGGGACGGTAGGAGATTCTGGGTCTTTTGCAAAGAAGCCGAGCGGGAGGGTGGGGGCTTGGCGGCCTCCAGTCGGCGTGGTTGAGTACACGCAAGGACCATGTGTGCGGAGTGCTTACGGAAATTGGTGACCCTGGCGTTGGTCTTTGCAAGTGTGGATGCGGTGGTGGGCACCGAAGCCACGCATCCTCCGGAAGGTGCCCAGGACAGAGCTCCTCAGCAAAAAGGGCGGATGTCTCTGCAAAATTCAGGTACGCGGTTAGTTCTTGAGGATCAAAACGCATCCGTGTCTGATTCAGTTTCTGAGGCGAGGAAGCTGCAGTTTTAAGTCCAGAACCCAGGTGTGGGGGAATTTTTTTTAATATATTTTTGACTTCAGTGCAGCGTGTAACCGAGACAGGAGTTGCGTCGCTAGGTGATAAAGCACCGTTCTTATAGGCGCTTGGGAGTGACAAGCAAGAAGTCAGGGAAGGAATTGGAAGTGCTTCCAGCAGCTTGGAAGCTCTGGCTAGCAAGCACGTGTTCCACCATTTGAGCTACTCTCTATAGAGGCAACCACTTAACATCTTCTAACTAGGCGAAGGAAGGCATCCCACAGGGAATGCAATACTGTAGTGAAAGTTAAGCCGGATTATCATTTTCATCGGAAGGATGGTGCCCTCTCCGTCTCTTCCTCTGCTTAAAAAGAAAAGCCCGCGATTAGAAGGGCTTGCTGGAACTACGTTTGCTTTTTGCACCACTTCAACTGGTCAGCTCCCACCCTTTAAATAAAAGAAAGGCAGAAAGAAGGGAGGGCACAGACGCCGGCGCAGGTTTAGCATTTAATGCAGAAGGGGGAAGACGTTCAGAGTGGACTAGACTCGAACAAAGGTCCTGAAAATCCTGTTTCGGCTGCAAGCGAGGGCATCCAACTAGTAGGGGTATTTTCTCCCATCATTTTTGCTTCTTTTTAACAATCTCATCGCTTCCTTTGCCTAGCATAAATGGAAACAAACTTGGGAAGACCCCCTTCTCGGTTATTCCCCTCTTGTTCACAGTAGGGGCGCTGGCTGCCCAAGTCTTTGAAGCTACCCACAGGACTGGCAGGGTATAGAGTCGCTCCTTATGGCAGGAGTAGACAACTGCGTCCACACGTCGCGAATCACCCCCCTGGGAGGCAACGCTCAGCCCGCGGAGGCCAGGACATGTGATCGGAACTCTTGCATCCCACCCGATGCCAGCTTGAAGCTAAAACTCTGCTCCGCACCTAAATCCAAGCTGCACATTTACACAATGCTGGACAAAGAAACTCTTTTTCCCTCTTCGCTATGTGCAGTTTCCCCTTTCTGTATAAAACAGTGCAGGCAGCCTCCTTGAAAAGAAGGCGATGTAGCAGCAACATCCCCTTTTGCTTTCTTAGGCTCTGATCTGGGTTTTTTTTTTTCCCCCTTAAAGGAGGAGTTGGCTGCATTATTTATTTTGCAGTATTTTATTTCTATGTAATTAATCCCAAGATTGGCACGAACTTGGTCTTTGTAGACATTCCTGTTTTCTGTAATGTATTAAAAGGAAATCCTTGGGGGTCTTCTGTGGCTTGAATATCCCTGGAGGAGGTGGCTGTAGAATATCTATTTTTTTCTAATACTCATGTCAGTGATACGGGTTTCACTTTGATATTTAACTCATTTAACACAGTGTTGTTATATGCTGGTAAACATGCCTAGAATAGAAAAATATAATCCATTTTCAAGAGTGGTCAAGGAAATCAGAAAATTAAGGGTGGGGAGTTCTGACCTGCAGATTTATCTGAGACTTTGTGAATGATTTTATTAATTGAAAGATGTGCTTACTTCAAACGAAGTATTTGGGAACACTAGTTCAGCTGAGAAAACCCAGTAAACAGTTGCATAATTTTCTCAGATGCGGTTTTCTTTGAACTAATATTGAATTTTGGACCTTAATTCATGACAATCAAATCAACACAGTATTTTTAATTATCTTCCCTTACATGATGATGAAAGAGGTACACTTGCATCTCATTCCATTTATCTATATACAATAACCTTTTGAGGTAGATTAAAATGAGAGTTCACTCAGTGATTTTCGTGGCTACCAGTGGTTTTTATGGCCTGGATGCAGATTTTAACTTGTCTCTCCAGTTCAGTGTAATAATTTAAACCACTGCATTATACTGATTTGTGTCGCTAAATTAGTTCAGATATGGATTTAACAGTGACTTTCTGTTTTGATCATATAATTGTTTGCAAAGCAATAATCTCATACATTACCACTCTGTTCCCCTTTTGAAATGAAGAAGTTGTTAACAAGTATTCTTTTTGCCTACAGGTGTATATAATAGTTGTAGACATTTACTGTGGTGACTGTTCATTTTCAGCTGAAATCCAGCACTGCCTGGTCAGTGCTGGCGATGTTGGCTGCAGTGTGTTTGAATGCTTTGAAAACAACTCTTGTGAGATTCGAGGTTTGCATGAGATCTGCATGACATTTCTCCACAATGCTGGAAAGTTTGATGCCCAGGTAAGCGAATGCAACAATTTGAGGCATAGACAACTAGACCCAGAATCTGCTAATGTGAAGGTATAAAAATAGTGTGGACTTTTATGAAAATTACTAGTTAATGTTTTAATCAAACAGAGCAACCAGACAAGTTTTAAACTTCATGGAACAGAATATACTTATAATGTAGAATATTAATTCTTTGTAAATATTCTATGATAAACCTATCTGACCTTTCTATTCAACCCTCTTTTAGTGCCCTAACATAAACTGCAGCTTTCTTTCAAGCTCTTCCAGTTAAATCATAATTCCACATTAGGAGTTATACAACACTGTGATTGTACTATTGTATGTGAAATATCAAATACGCATCTTCTTACCAAGGGCTGATTGAGGGTAGGTTAATGTATATGGGAAATAATTTTCAGCCCACAAATAATTGTGAAAAGACTACACAGTAGAAAATCCCATTGCTAAAGAAAACTGTTATTGGGTTTGAAAAGCACTTTGCCTCCCGTATTAAGGATGCATCCTGATCCAGTGGAAACAAGAGGTTTGGATTAATGGATACTAATTCCCATCCAATATTCCTTATTTATTTGATCTTATTATTTCATGTCTCATGCAGTCTTTTTCTTAGGTAGTTTACAATTAGAAATATTAAAGTAATTAAAATGCAGTGACAAAGTACAATAAATACAAATAACATGAAAAAATATTACAAGGGGAGAAAGAATATAAAACTATTTATTCATAACATTCACACAGAGGAAGCTTGGATGAAGAGAAAAAAAAATCAACACATGCCTAAACAATGTAGTAGATGCCTTGTGGATTTAGGAGAAGAGCTATTGATTTGGAAAGCTCATTGTTGCAGGTATAAATTAATAATTATGACAGATCCAAGCCATGGTGGCATTTTAAACAAATTAATTCTGGTTGATATTGCAATAATATAACAGTAGGCCATCCTTTGATGTCATCTCACTCTTGCTACTTTGAAGTGCCAGCATTTCCAATTTATCTTAAAGTCCTGAAGTGGAAATGTTACTGAAGTGACTGGGCTCTCGGTGCTTCTTGGCACATTAAAATGAAAGGGGGGGGGGGTGTCCAAGGATGCCAAGTGAGGAATTATCTTTTGCTCAGTCTTACCTCTGACTCCCTTTATATGATCAGTCCAATTCATTGCTGCAGATGAATATTGAGCCTCAGTGTCATTGGAAGTAACTATATCTCTGCTGCTTTATTCTAGTGATTCCTTGGCAGCTCACCAATGTCGAAGTACATTCCTTAGCAAGAATCTGATATTAAGTTTGCCTCTTTCATTTTCTCTCCAAAATGCTTGTACATTGTTGAAGCATCCTGTTATTATGTCTTGTACAACAATTCTCCCATTTCAACAACGAGAACAAAAATATTACATTGGTCAGATGTATTTGGCTTGACTGGCAGTTTACAGAATGTGCATTGGTAATTAAAAGTTTAAACTTGGGGCTTAAAAACAGATTTTTCTAGAAATCTCTTTATTTGCTTTTCCAGAAATATAACAATGTCTGTTTCCTTCCAGATTAATAGTAATTTTTTTTATCTTTTTCATTACTGTTTTGAAAAGCTTTGAAAAAAATATTCTGCTTTGGCCTTTTCTTTCTTTACAAGACCTCATTTTATATTATGATACACATTTTTCACAATAGGATTTTCATTCAAGTCCATAGTGCATTATCCCATAATATTTTTAGGTAAAGAAATCCTAAGTAACAGTATATTTATTCCAGTGTCACTTTAATATTTTTCATATTCTTGCTGACTGTCTCTATGACAAAATAATAATCTCTTATACACTCCAAATAATACTGAAATTTCTTCCTTTGCTATTACAGAGCCAAACTAACAACTAAAATATTTTGTTGGTGATTAGCAGAAAGTATCCTTCCCTTCAAATGCATGGTAGTTTTATAAGACAAAAACAAGTTGACTCTAATCTGCTTATAAGAAATGAAGGACCAACAGAAGAAGTTCCAGTTTTTGCAGATAAAATTATATTGCCATAAAATTTGAGTAGGAAAAAAAAGTTAGCTTTTATGTCTTATTGATTAGTGACTGCTCATTAGCTAGGATGAGGGGAAACTTCTTTTTTTTAAAAAAAAAGGAGAAATAGCAGGTCGTCTCCTATTATTCAGCAAAAATAATTGCTATCCAGTTATTCAGAACATTATCATTTATCACTGAAATATGATTGACTTTCAGAATTAGCAACAAAAGAAGGTGGAATAAAATTAGTACTTTGCTTAGTTCTTCGTTGCATGTGTGAAAAGTATAGTTAGAAGTGAAATTTTGTAATTTTTGAAGGCTTCCATCTTCTTCCTAATCTTTTGCAGAAGTTAAAAAGAAACCTTCCCCCAATATATATTCATATCAGAATGCTGTGAGTTGGACTTGGGGGTGATCTTTTTTAGCATTGAAAAGTTTACCTGAATGGTCATGGGCAAAAGGGAAAAAATGAGGAAGAGAGAAATAGACTTTACCAGAGATAGAACCTCAGTCCTAGGATATACACTTACTTATCAACAAATCTCATTGAATTTAATGGACTTAGTCCACAGGTCGGCAACCTGCGGCTCCAGAGCCACATGTGGCTCTTTGAGCCTTCCCCTGCGGCTCCCAGCCTCCTCTGCCATTCGCAGAGAGAGACAGAGACAGAGAGAGGCACTTGAGCTTCCCTTCTCTCTCTCTCTCTCTCTCTCTCTCTCTCTCTCTCTGTAAGTAAAAAAGAGAGTGGACTCACCGTGTTCTCCGAGGAGCTGAAAAGCTTACTGGGCGGGGCTTCTCCTTTGGCTGCGTCTCTGCAGGAAGCAGGAAGGGCAGGAGAGAGCTAGCTAGCCCAACTATGCTGGTTCAGGAATTCTGGGAGTTGAAGTCTTTGAGTCATAAAAGAGCCGAGGTTGAGTCATAAAAGAGCCGAGGTTGCCTACCTGAGCTTGTTGGAGAATAGCTTGAAGCCAGCTTGCCAGGTGAGCAGAAGATTGGAGAGAGGCAGAGAGAGAGAGAGAGAGAGAGAGGGAGAGAGAGAGAAAGAGAGGGAGAGAGGAAAGAGAAAAATAGAAAGAGGGAGAGGAAAAAGAGATAAAGAGGAAAGAGAGAAAGAGGGAGAGAGAAAGAGAAAAAGAGAGAGAAGGAGAGAGAGAGAGAGTGTGGGGCAAGAGGACTGGCAGACCAAGGGCAGAAAGAGAGAGAGGGGAGAGAGAGACCCTTTTGACATCTAAAATGAAGATAACACTGCATATATCCTTTTTTATCTTTATGATATGTGTGTGTGTGTGTAAGTAAAAAAGATAGTGGTAAAAAAGGATATATGCAGTGTTATCTTCATTTTAGATATCAAAAGGGTTTTGCGGCTCCCAGTGTTTTGTTTTCAGTGGGAAACGGGTCCAAGTGGCTCTTTGAGTGTTTTGGGTTGCCTACCCCTGACTTAGTCCATGCATAGGATAACTCTTTTTCATGGGGAAGCATCACTGTATTCATGTGAGTTTATTTCCACACACAAAGAGGGTTGTGTCTCTGAAGACAAAAGCCACATTGCGTTACTTAACCTCTGGAGTGGGGCAGAGGATACTTAGGATAGCAAATCCCCATCTCCCGACGACTAGAAAATCATCTTCATCTTCTTTGACCTCCTCCAATTTCCATGATTCCTCTAACGATTGAAATCTACCTGAAATCTATCTGGGCCCACATAATTATGCTAAGCCATGAACAAACTTCATTATGGCATTGTGCAGTGTGTGAATCCTTCCATTATATACTGGCTACCTTTCAAGAGCACACTGTGCTACTAGTTGTGCTACCAATTTAGTATCGGAATCTGGTTGTTCTTGCCCATTACCATTATCATCAAGGTTTTTCTCTTTCCAGAGGGAGTGGAAACTAAATCCCTGTCCAGGTCTTGGTTTTGGCCCAAGCCAGGGTGGGATGGGGAGGGCGTGAGCCTCAGAGGTCAACTAATAGAAAGATTGCTTTGCACATTGGTAAGTCAACTCACTGGTTTCAGCGGAACTGTGGAATCTTTTTTAACTTCAGGTTGTGATGAAGCTTTAAACTCAGAAAACTCAAATTTTTCAACAGAGCCTCATTTCCCTCCATGATCATGATGAATGAAGTATTTCCAGTTTTTCTAAGTAACTCTGAAAAGTATATCCAAACAGTGAAAGTGAGCAAGCAGAGTCCTAAAGAGAACAAACGAAGTGGCGTTTTGACACATTGAATTTTTGTTCTCCTTGCAGACTCTCTTCACCTTTGCATCATTTCTGAAAGTTGTGTGAAATAGATTTGAGAGATCCTCATTTGAGCAGGAAATCTCTCACACAATATAAAGTCAGGGTCTCTTTCCAGACCACCCTTTAGTAGCATAGGATTGGGGTTGCAGTGTGCTTCCTGATAGCTTACCTGCTAGTGGCTGGCAATATTGCATTAATTGGATTTTCCACAGTAATTAGGACAGGATCACTCAAATACATTATGAAAAGTTGAAGGGGTTGCTTTCACTTGCTAGGCATGACGGATGGCAAGCAGGGGACTAGGACAGTGTAACTGTTGGCAACGACAACTATCCGAAAAATGTTACGTGCTTCTGCCTGATTTCAGACTATTCAAACAGTGAAGACACTACACGTAGGATAATGAATAATGTCAGCTTGGCAGGTCAGTTTTCAGAAGGATGTCACAGCACAACAATATAAGAATAATGGCAGATCAGTATTTTTGTACCAAACTTTATCACAACATAGTCTCACAGTCTCATGGAGAGATATTAGGCTGACTTCTGGAGTCTGCTGGCATGAGAATGAAGATAATGCATATCACCATTGGTTTTGAATTGACTTGTCTGTCCAGGGCTATTGTTACAGGAAAGCATATCCAAAGCCTATATATAACTCTCCAAGTATCATTGATAAGAGGAGCAATTCTGCTCTATCTTACTGCCTTCTGAAATTCTTGCATTGCTGGCTAATTAAAATTTGCAGGATGGATTCCAAAGCAAGAATCCATTAAAAGAGAGCCAGATTGGTCTAGTGGCTACATCACCAGACTAGAAAACAGGACACCATGAGTTCTAGTCCTGCCTTAATGATGAAAGCTGACTTTGGGCCAGTCACACTGTTTCATCCCATCACAGGTTTGTTGTTGTGGGGAAAATAAGAGGAATAAGGTGTGTTGAATATGTTTCCTGCCTTATTTGTAAAGATAATAAAGACAGGATATTTAAAAAATTAAAATTTTACTTTTATCCTAAAAAAAAAACAGAATTGTGTTTATTGAAATAGTCCCCATTAATTACCCCCAACACCAGAAGCCTTCCTCGTATTGCCACAATGAGCCCAAGTGGTAAGGATAGTCTCCAGAATTTGCCTCTCAAAGGGGTTGCTTTTGGGGAACAGGTTTTATAACCCTGTAACCTCTCTTTCCCCCTCTACTTTCAGAATTGCTCAGTTTAGGCATCATCAAAAGGAGATTAGATATTAATGAGGATTAAATGCCTAGCAGACTCTGAGCACCTACTACAACCAAAGAAGGAAATAATTAACTGATTGGGATTAGAGCAAAATATTTGTTATCTTAGAACTTTTAAAAGTAAATAGGCAACATTTTTTTCCAGGTGTTAATTGAAAAATGGAGATGGATCACAAGACATATGCTTAATGGACATGGGTTTAGTTGTGCTTTTTGTTCTTTTCTCATTTCAGGGGAAATCCTTCATTAAAGACGCCCTGAGATGCAAGGCACATGCCTTGCGGCACAAGTTTAGTTGTATCAGTCGCAAATGTCCTGCTATCAAAGAAATGGTGTTCCAGCTACAACGAGAATGCTATCAGAAGCACGATCTCTGCTCTGCAGCCAAAGAGAATGTCCAGGTCATTGTGGAGATGATTCATTTCAAAGACTTGCTACAACTTGAGTAAGTAAAGAGGGAGTATCTGATCTGCTATACTGTAAGTTCCAGAAAGTTGCATGTCCCCTAATTTTATTCATCTCAACCAGAGGAAAATTTTAGTCCACAGCATTTAGCGATACAGAGTGGCCATAAATGTCCCCATAGAGTTGCAGCCATGCCACAAAGGTGAACTAAAATGGCCACACCCAATTTTTTAGAATCCTTCTCTATAAAATGGCTTGCCCACTCTCTTTCTTTCCTTATCATTCTCAGATTTTTCTCTTTAATATACTCAGATATAATAGTGAGATCTAAGGCTTATTTTACATACTATAATAATGGAATAAAATTAAATCATGTTCTAAATATAAAATGGCTTCTCTTTTTTTGTTGGTCATTTGCTATGAAAAAGCTTCTCTGCTTTCTATTGTATTGTTCAGATTCATGCATTAGGAAGAAGACAAATAAGGTTATCTCACACACAGAAATGAGAACATGCTCAAGATTGAATATGGATCTGCTCCTATTATAATGGGAGATTTGGCCATGGTGTAGAATTTCTGTATAAGAGAAAAAAAATAATCACATTATCATATAGAGAAACGGGCACCCACCAGAGGAGCAGAAAAAATCAAGATGGCTGGCATAACTATACTATTTGTGTCCTATAGCAATAGTACTTAGATTTATATACCGCCCCATAGTGCTTTACAACACTCTGGGCAGTTTACCTCATCATATTGTCCCCAACAATCTGGGTTCTCTTACCAACCTCGGAAGGATGGAAGGCTGAGTTAACCTTGAGCCCCATTAGGATCAAACTCCAGGCTGTGGGCAGAATTTGCCTGCAATACCGCATTCTAACCACTGCGCCAACTGGACTTCTATACTCTTTTTATGTACATGCAATGCATATTTAAAAAAAGGTGGGGCTTGGATCATGCTCACCCTTTTGACATTTTTACCCCATCACTGTTTGTAAGTATTCTGTGGGTGCTTCTGGTTACTGCATCACATGTTGCATAATTGGCTTACACATCGTGAAGGAAAATGCCAGTCCTCACCAACACAAAAACTCTCAGTATTTGCTGAAACTTAAAACATGTAGAATTCTATTGAAGCCAACTTTTTGTGAATGGCTGGCAGAAACCTTAACTCTTAATATCTAACCTGCCAAAATATAGGTACAAATGCTCCACTTAACTTCTCCAATCTCCTGTTCAAAAGCTTATTTTTTCTGCTCCAAGAATGACAACAAACAGATACTTAAAACCTACAATTATTAGTCCTTTAAATTAAAATGTTCAGTGAATTCTGTGTTAGACATTGGTTTGGATCAGAATACCTTTAAAAATAATGCAGTTTTGACAGCAACTTAACCATTAAATCTGGAAGCATTTTTAATGCTTCTAAAATTAACATCAACAGTTGTTGAAGAAACAACTTCCCCCTGTATGCTTCCTCTTACTTTCTCTACAATTCAGTACTTAATTAATTGCTTTGCATTGCTTGAGGTTGGAGATGAGATTGAATAAATCAGTGTTTCTTGGACAGATAGTGGAGGCACTCAGTGTAGCCTTGATGTCCAAGATGGGCAACAAATGAAATAATGAAAATAATAAATAAACTAAATACTTGAATCATCATGGGAGAAGATCTTAGCTGCAACTGTGTTCATTCAGCTCCACATTCTGCTCTCTGAGAATAGAGTCTCCTTTCTTATCTGTTCTGGAAAATGCTCCCTTGTGGAACTTTTTTGCTCTTTACAAATTGATTCATGCTGCAGAAATGGAATAGAATTTCCACTCTGAGTAGGAGCAGAATTCCTTTTACGGACCTATATACCTGTAAACTAAGATGATAATAATGATGTTGCTGTATGGAAACAACCAAGAAATTTGTGAGTAAAGTTGTCTATCCTGAAGAAACGCTTTTTTTCAATAACCTGTGCAAAATTACAGCATATACAATTGTATAGTTCTTATCCTATATATAAAACAATGTCTTAGTAGAAGGTCACAAACTATAAAATACTATCAACCATAAAATGGTTTGTGGCATTAACTAAGGTACCCCAAGGTACCTCATATTTTGCCTGCACATGGTATCTACTCAAAGAGTAAAATTCAGGGCACATAATTACATCTCTTGAAATATGGTTAAATTCAAGGCTAAGTAGTTGATTCTAAAATGGAGATATGTCAGGAAACTTTACCTTAAAAGAGGTAACTCTTTTACATTTCTCTCATCAGACAATAATAATCTGCCTTGTTTATTTATGTTTATTAGGTTATTCATATTTGTTATAGCCACCCATTCCAATGGACTCTTGGCAGCATACAAAACCCCAAAAAATCCATAAAAACAGATAAGCCAGACAGACAATCCAAACTCAACAACATTCTTAAAACCAACGAAAAGCAAATAAAATGTTTCTCAAAAGTACTATACAGTAATAAATTAACTCTAGCCTATTGATATTGCTTATATTTTTATTGGCAAGAACCTATTCACGAATATCTGATCTGCATTCAGATGTGTTATTTAGTACAGAATTACAGCCAATTTTATAATCCTTTTTACTGGCTACTCCTTGGCATTTGTAATATTGCATTGCAATTTACTTTAGTGATACTTAAATGGCCCACAGTGTTTTACCTAATAGTCCTAGTGCAACAGACTCAAACATGCCTGAATTTTTGAATGCTTTGCGTGCAAGCAATGTATCATTCATTTGTGGATCTTGTTGCAGTATGCGTGTTCTATAGAGAATAAAATTCAGATCATCTTTTAATGACAGTTAGGGTTGTGGGATTTTGTTTTCCTTTTCCTGAAAGATGGAATGGTTTCAGGGATAATAAAGGTTTTGCTTCAGTTTCAGACCAGCACTGATGCTACATTGGAGTGGCAAGTCAAATACTTCTTGCATGCTGGGTGAGATAATGTCTTAAGTAATTTTGCGTCCTTGAGTAATTCTGCCACAGAGTGCCAAGACAAATGTGTCTTGCATGCTGAGTGAGACAAATATGTCCTTCAGATTCCTGTGGGCCCCTTCCATGAAATTGGCAACCAACTAAATTATAAATGACTGGTAGTTAAATGTAATAGTTTAGTTCAGTGGTTTGCAGACAGTGTACTGTGGCAAGACGGAGAAGCTGACAGATTGCACATCATCACTGAATTTGCCTGGGAGAGAACACCATGTGCTTTTCCCAACTCAACTTAGTTCAATGGCGAGATGCAACACCTAACAATGACCCAGCCAAACAAAGCACGCACAAGAGAACATGTCCCCAAATCCACAGCAAGCGTCCCTAGCAGAACTATACTGTTCCTTGACAAAAAAAAAAGCAGCTGCTGCAAGAATTATTCAAGGAAAGAAGATAGACATAGATTTAAATGGAGGAAAAAAATATATCCTGTGTAAGGCCGGAATTTTACTCTCCTGCTGTCGTAATTAACCACAAAAAGGGAGGGCATTTAAATTTCAGACCAAACGTTCAACTTTTCCAATACTTGGCATTGGACAACAGTAAATAAATTATTCTTCCTTCAAGCTTGACCTAGAGATGTAAAGATTCCGGAAAATTTGTAAATCAGTAGGAAAATATGGGGTTTTCTAATGTTTGGTTTTTTTTTTGTAGAAAGAAACAGAATTGAGAAACAAAGACTTGAAATATAGATAATAATATTTTTAAATCACCCTTTATAACTATAAATATGTGGGTGCTGCTTGCAGCTTCTGGCCGGTTCCAGGACTTTAGGGCCTAGTGAAGAGCCAGAACAACTGTCTCTAGGTTAGAACTTGGTAAGAGCAAGCAAGTGCAAGGGCGTCCTTCCTTTGTGACGATAAATGTTAATGCACCCTGGAGTAAGAAATACGTATCAGCAATTGTATTATATAGTTATCTGTGTGCAGGAACTGATCTGTACATTGTTTGCTTATATGACATTTAAGAAATAAGTTTATTTGTACCATTTAAAAAGAAAATATTAGGAATTTCATAATCCATGACGGGTGGGGAGCTTAAGAAAAAATGGTGGTTTTTTTTTTTCATTTACACATATAGCTACATTTCATACGTCATAACATCTTGAAGAGGCCTGAATTGCCCATTTTTCCCCAAATTTCCCTGTCCCTTATAAACTGTATCTAGGCTACATCTGTTACTATGTTTTAAGCAACAGCATAATTCGAAGTTTCGTGAGGATTAGTCATTTGTAACAACAAAACAAAATGCCAACATTCTTCAAGATAGGAAAAGAAGACTCCCTTCTCTTCCTTCTTTGCTTTGGCTTCCTGTTAAAACCCTGATCCATAGGGTCCATTGGGTAATGCCTTTATTAAGGAGCCCATAAGTCTATAAGGAGCCAGTATCCCAAAGAATGGAATCAAATCATTACCAGCAGGTGAGCTAGCCTCAGGTACACATCACATGTTCAAATCTAGCAATGCTATCTCAACTATACTTCTTTTTAAAAAAAATAGCAGTCCAAAATTTTCACTAATCGCTACCTTAAACTATAATTACATATTCAATATAGGCCAATTGTGGCTGACTTCTATACTGCCGGTAGTTCTCGACTTACAACCATTTGTTTAACCATTCAAAGTTAACACCGGCACTGAAAAAAAGTGACTTATGACCATTTTTCACCCTTATAACCATTGCAGCATCTCCACGGTCACATGATCAAAATTTGGACACTTGGCAAGTGGCATATATTTGTGACAGTCGCGGTGTCCCGGGGTCATGTGATCACATTTTGTGACCTGACAAGCAATGGGGAAGCCAAATTGACTAATTCAACAACTTCAGTGATTCACTTAACAGCTGTGGCAAGAAAGATAAAATGGGGCAAAACTCACTTAACAACTTGTGTGTTAAATTTAAATTTACCGACAAAGAATTAAAGGGAGATTCACTTAACAACTGTCTTGCTTAGAAACAGAAATTTTAGGCTCAATTGTGGTCCTAAGTCAAGGATTACCTGTAGTCTTTATATTTTTCTGCAATGGTTGTTCATGGTATTATATAAAAGTATTTCAAATACCTTATTAGGCATAGTGCTCATACATTAAATATTTGAAGAGCAATGGAAACTAATAACATAAATTACTGGGTGTTTATTGTATGTTTAACTGCTATGTCTTCGATTAATGAAAAATGTGGTCTTACACTGAAGAATCATGCAATTATATGGCTGATGCTGTCATGCTATACTATGTGGACTTGGAAGATAATTAGCAAGATTTGTGAACCATAATTCTAGGAAGAGACTCAACATTGGAATGCATTCAGTTTCTATCATTCATCTCAAAACCAGTAACTGAGCAAATTCCCCAGCACTGAAAAGTCTGAGATTTGTGGGCAAAAAAGACCTCTTGATTATTATAATGTTCTTGCCAATATAAAATCTAAAGTTAAACGGAATACCTCCATTAAGCTAAAAGATTCTGCAGCAGATATAATCACCTAAAGGTGGTGATGGGATTACCTGCCACCTCTATTTGCTGAAATTTAAAGTGGACTACCGATTTAATGTGCAGAATCATGAAAAGTTTCAACTTTGCAGAGATGGAGTAGTATCTTGTAGATCTAATTAATGACAGTAAGGCAAAGGATAAATTTCCCAAAACAGGATATCTCTGTAAACCAACAGAGCAAAGACTCTTAATAATATCAGAGAACTGGTTGTTATATATGCTGTATCCAAGTGAGCCTTGCTATTGAATGTGATAGCTCAGCTGCTAATACTGAAGCAGGAAACAAACATAACTCAAAAGGAAAAGAGAATTAGTGATTCTTTGATTAAATGCATGAATTAGTTAGTAAAGTCAAGACTACATCTGAAAAATCTCATCTTGGGCAGTGAAGAAGCTCTCTGGAAAACAAACCAACTGTGATTTTATATAACTCTTGGTCATGCTAATTGGGAATTGTTGGAGTTGCAGCCAGACATTTTAGGACATCAGAATAAGGAAGATTGTTATATCCAATTTTAAGAATTTTGAGAAATCATTACCTTTTTACTACTTGTAATTACCATGGATAATCATAGATACATAATTGATTAGTAGGTGGAGATACCCTACTGCTTTTTTGTAAGGAGTTTATACTGTATTTTCTAGACTAGAGACAGGCAGAACATTTATGCATAAAGTATTCCATAAAGCTGTTTTGGGTGGTCCATGGCCCAAATTGAAAGTTGCCACTTGGATGCTTTAATCCACTTACAAAATAGAATAGGGCTCTTTTGATGAGCATATGGACCAAAATGTACTTGTCCTGGGCAGAAGTGTTTCAAAAGTGGAGTAAGCATGAGAAACAGGGTCAGCATTTGCAGATAGCTGGGACAAGGGGAGGAAAGTAAGAAGATAGTGGGAAGATCAGTAAGGCATGCTTGAAATCTGTTCTTTACTCCCAAGACCATTGCACTAAGGAAGAGGCCAATAAATTGGTGTCAGCTGAGGCAAGGCAAGGACAGAAAGAGGCTGGAGAGATGGGAAGGGAGGTATAGTGGAATATGCTGGACTGGGACACTGGCATTGGCTGATGAAGGAAGGGAGTAGAAGGGGCTGGGAAGATGGGGCAGGAAGACCAGAATACATGCTTTCATGAGAAAGGAAAAGGAGGGTGCTGCAGGTCAATCCTGTCCTATCTGACTCATATAATCATGGCAGAACAATGCAAGAATCCTTGGTTTTGTTTTTCTGCTGATCTGCATCCAGTATGAAGTGGTTGACCAGAATTCTAGGACATGGTAGTTTACTCTGCTTTCTGACAAAACATATTTTCTTGTTTTGTGCATCCTGTAGCTCTCTGATTCGTAATTCTGATTTCTTCAGTGAAAGCAGTCACGGATTTTACAGATTAATTCAAACTTACTGGATGATTATTAGGATGATATATTCTATTGAGGTAGTGATTTCCCAGAAATGGTTTAAGAAACAGCAAATCAAACTGCATGAGTGGATCAGAATTTCCATATAAGGAGGGAAAAACTGGTCTTGGACAGTCATTATCTCTAAGTCCAGCCAACCACTATAGGATTTGTTGCTATGAGAGAAAATTGGAGAACTTAGATAAAATTGGAGCGTGTGTGCATGCATGTGTCAGTGATAGAAATATTCAAGTCCTAATGAAAATGTGTATCGGTCTAATGGATAAAATAATAAATGTATAACTACTGATTTGCAGTCAACTTGAGTGCATCTGCTACTCTTCCATAACTTTATATCTTTTCATTTTTTTCTCAGACCATATGTTGATCTGGTGAATATACTGCTCACTTGTGGAGAAGAAGTCAAGGAGGCCATCACCCAGAGTGTCCAGACCCAGTGTGAGCAGAATTGGGGGAGTCTGTGCTCCATCCTGAGCCTCTGTACTGTGATTCCACATGGAGAGTCTACCCTGGAGTCTGAGAAAAAGCCAAATGAAGTCTCAAGAATATCCACTGGCCAAGGAAACCTTGTAATTCAACCTCAGTCTGGTAGCAGAGAGAATTCTCAAAATCCTAGAGGGGAAAGAGGTAGCAGGCTGCCTATAAATGGTCACACTCGCACTAAATCTGGGGGTCATAATTCCAAAGCAACTCATGAGACCTTTGAACAGAGAGATGAACCTTCCGACTTCTCTGATATCCGAAGGTGAAAGGAATAGACAACCCCACCTTTCCCCCTTCACCAAAAACTTCCTCCGTTGAGTTCATTTTATCTAGGGGCATTCCAAAAAATATTTACAAGATAAAGGGGCTACGTCAAACATAGGGCATTGCGGGTTATGGGGCAGCAACAGCATATGTATTATAAGCAACAGAGGAAAAACAATGACAATGGATTGCTGATTGTATCCAACAAACTCAGTGTGTAGATGCAACAAAATGTCTTCATTTAAACTCTTTAATTTCTTGGAAAAAAATAAGAGATGCAGGTCTGGGATGCCAATACTATTTTTAAATCAGGGATAGACTAATACAAATTATGATTTCTCCACTAATGGCTTAGACTGTCTAGTTTAGATTAAATTCAACATGACTTTAAGTAGAAAATAATTCAGTCTATAACAGAAATTATAAGGGTGTAACATGGGCTGCCATGGCATTTGTTAAGAAGACTAATGAGTATGGTCAAGGGGACCTTCCAAATGCAAGCTTAGTTATCCTCTGAGCCTACATTCTGCTCCTTTTTAAATGACACCATCTGCCTTAATTATTTCGCTATGCTGGTTTTGGCAGTTTATTCCTCCATCATTCCTTTGAAAATTGGTTAATTACAGAACCAGCTTCTGGATAAGGTGAATGGGCCTTCTCTGCTAGTTCAGTATTATACAAATCTCTTTTTTAATACTGTAAATCTAAAAGCCCCACTCCACTTCAGATTTAAGTGGGTGTCACATTTTTGACATATTTTTTTCAGGCTTGATGGAAAACCTCTTATTCTCACTGTATCAGAAATCAGTATCACAAAGGTTACAGGGTTGCAGTATTTCTGTGCTTTAAGGCCACTATTATGTGGCAGCTGTTAGAGAAATTGTTGGTGAAGAGAGGGCAAACCAAGCACTACAATGATTTAATCTGGTTAAATATGTGAATTACACACTTCTCCATACCTCCATCCTCATCACATTTTCTTCGAAATATAGGTAACTTTGTCAAATTAATGGAACTTATTTCATTAAGTTTGGATTGCCACTTTCATGGTCCAGAATTAGTGTGTTATATTTCATCTTGCTTTTAATCATGGCTGTTTGTTATTATTTGAACATATAAGATCACTCAAGATATTTACACATTGAAACTTCAGTTAACACTTTACTGGAAGAAGGTGTTCCTAAAACCTTTTAAAAAGTGATAAACCTTTTTGGAAAACAGTACCATCTAAAATATTTTGTGTATATTATGCCCCAACTTTACTAAATTAGTAGAACTCTGGATGAATTGAACTTCAAGTTCCCATATTGCTGGATGGGGATTGTACTGTTTCTAAGCCAACTCTTTCGAATGATCCCAGCTTGGAGAAGGCAATGTTAGCTATTCAGATGTTTTAGAAGGAAAGACTAGACCTTACTTATTTGCAAAGAGCTTCATATCTAAAATTTTCCCAGTTATTACATTTTTGGGATATCTATAGCTGTTTATATGCATAGCATATGCAAAGGTAGTTCTGATGTTGCACTGACTGGACAACTCATAATTGCAAAAGTGGAGCAGCATAATATAAATGACTGTTCCACAACCTAGCACCCTAGTAAAACTTGCCGGACATCAAGTTCCACTATGAAGCTGAGGATGGAAGTATGAAGGTACGGTATCAGGTTCAGGAATCTCAAGTGAAACCCATTCCTCTTTGATGAAGGTAGTTAGAAAAAAGTATAAGGAACATTGCATTTAGGAAATATTATTTGCATTTTGGGGGGAGGGGATGAGCTTTTTGTGATTACGATGAGTAGTGAATCTGGTCACGGTCCTAAATCACCCTTTGAAACAACGAAATGTATGAGGATTGATGCAAGTGCCCTTCTTGAAAATGAACTGATAGAGGAAGAATTGTGACCACTTCAGAATAAATCATCACACAGAAGTTAAAAAGCCCAAAGATCTATTAGTATGATTCCCAACTTCTAAAGTTCAGTCTGTGAGAAGTCTTGTTTATCTGTGGGAATCAGAACATGTATGTACCATTGAATGTCAGCAGATCATCTCAGTGTGCATATAATTTATCTTCAGTGATCTAGGGATGTTAATATTTGTTTCACAAATAACATTTAAGAATTGGGGGGAGGGGTAAAAAGATCACACAAGTCTAATTTTCCTTTTTTTTCCCTCTGAAAATTGGATATATGTGTTCATCTACTGATTCCACATATTCTTTTAATGTAAATAACACTTTTATTTATTATATTTTCTCCATTTAAAAAAATTTGAACTGAGCACTGCTGGCTAAGGTAATTTAAATATATGTCAGGACCTGTGTTGTATATATTCATGCCACAAGTACATTTTTGTTATTGTTTAGATCAAGGAAAATATAATTTTATACACTCCATAAAGGTATTGACAGCATCAATCATTTATTTATTATCATCATTCATTTCTAACAGATAACAAGTGCATTTAAGCTAATAGTTTTACCAAGATGTGTATAACTACCGTACTTACTTGAAATTTTTAAAATAAAAAAGTCCGCTGTCCACTAAGGCATTTAGTGACATCTTAACAAAAAACTTATTTTTAATTATAGACATAATTTAGTTCTATGAGAGAAAGAAATCCTAGCCCAATTCTAAAGAATTTTTTCTTCATTGTGACATCATCTCCATAATTCTAATTGTGAGAATGAGTTCCCATGTTGGGCTTTAGAACACACCAAAATCAGTAACTCATCTTTTCTACAAAATGTTATAAAAAGTAGCATAAGATACATCACATTCCACTGAGTTTTTAAACACAGATTTTTGTGGAAGAGCAGAGTCAGATCTGAGACCCCTAAAAATAAGGGGGTTCAGTGAGCCTGCTCAAAAGCAATAAATGGAGATCTGGTTGACCAAACCAAAAATGTTGGATCCCTCTATTGAATTTAGAAAGAATGAAACAAAACCTGTTTTATTTAAACTGATTAAGAAAGTTCTGGTCTTTCAAAACAAAATTCAACACCAGTCTCGGGGGTTTTTTTCAACCTTTCAAGGAGCTTTTTGAAACATTTGAAACTGGGCAAGTTGAAGTTTCCCATTGCATTCTATGACTGGAGCATAGAATTGCCCCCATTTGAAACAACCGAATTTATACCAAAGTCCAAATAAAATTATTTTGTTCCAACTTCAAAACAAAATATAAGTTTATTTTTAGTTTGGAAAGTTTGAAACCTTTTGCTTTCAAAATGTTCTACACCCTTTCAGAATTAATGAAAGTGCTGCAGCAAAAATACATCTTGGGCATAATTTCCCATCCTTGGAGAACTCCAAAGCTCCTCAGAAAATCCAAAGAACAGTTGATCTTGAAAGGATAATTTCAACACCTTCACTAAACTGAAATGGGATAATTTCAAGTAAAGAAACAAAATCAGGCTATATGGCCATTGGGTTTTAGCCCAGAAAAAAGTAGTCATTTAAAAAAAAGTCAGTTTGAAAATGGTTTCTTGCCTTATTGGTATAAAATAATTATATGGAATGTTTTGGTTTTGCTTTTAATGCAGAATATAATATCCCTCAGTTTCCTTGAATATTTTTTATCTTATACAGACTATGATGAAGCAAACTTTTGTAATTTCATCTGGATTTAGGTAAGAAATTTTTCCTTCCACCACTCAACTGGCATTAATAATTAGATGGTTACAGATCAGTATATTAGAAACAAAGTTCCATGAATTTTTTGTAAAGCACAGCATACGTCAAAAGGCTTATTAAAAGAAATTAGAAACTAGATAATGAGGAAAAGGCTAGTATATAAGTGGGAACATGGGGAAGAAAATATATATATTCCTGAAGGATGTTGGTATTTCTGAATTTAGGAGCATTAGCAAATCAAATAAATACTGCCTGTACTTTTCCACAAAAGTTTCTTAACAAATGGTTTTTGCAAAAGAAAGCAAATGAGCATTTGAAAACTTAATTTTTGATTTTGGAAGTCTATTAGATGGGGAAAAGGACAACTGAATAAAAGCACTTACATTGGGAAAAGCGTTCCACACATAATGTTAGGATGAAAAGCTGATTAGTCCAAGGTGAACTGTATGATCAAGTTAGCCCTAGTTTAAAAAGCTAACAAACTCAAATTAGTTCAAACAAGACAAATGCAGAATTTTGATATTTGGCTGCAGAAATCCAGAATACCACTAGATAGCAGGAAAGGGAAACAAATCCAATCCTTTGTTGCCATCGTGTGGTCATCCAGATCTTTGCAGTCTAAATATAGTAATGTTGGGTAGTACAAGAAAGGGCAGTGGACAGTTCTAAATTGTGGGAAATAATGATTACTCATCACAATGACTCCCTTCAGGATAAGGCAACAGTGAGAAGACTTGTATTCCTGTCCTGCTTGTGAGTCTTCTCAGATCCAGCAAGGTTCTTTTTTTCTTTATTAAAACACAGGATTACAGTCCTCAATTAAAAGCTGCCTAGCTCTAAAGAAATCTATTGAATATCGGTTCCTATTGGGGCAGTTTGTATGCCTCCAACTCTAGGTGAAGACTTCAAACTAAAAACCTTGGTTAAGTTTGTACAAATAGAATTAAACTTCATAGTGTTTTTTAGGTTTCCTCACTTCATCAAAATGAACATCCAGAAAATCTTACTCTTTCACATCCATAAAAAATAGGTATGCAAAATGGGATGGTTTTCCATCACGAACAATGTAATTTTGACAAGACTGTACATATCACATTTCAAGGGATTTGAAATTTACACGTGAGAAATCACATGGCAAGCTAGAAGTGCCAAATATAAATCTTAAATTTAGAGCTTTCATTTTCTTGTCTTCAAACTTGTCTGGGCGTGACCTCATGTCACAAAGGTGTCACATGTGTCACATAGGGCGCTTCCAATTTAACAATGGCTCACAATGGCTCTGTAGGATCATGTTCCAAGCATTACTTTTTTAAAAAAATAAGGAAAAGAAAGGGAGGGAGGGGGGAAAAGTGAAGGAAAAATAACCAGCAATTTTGGGGAACAAAGTTTGGTTGAATTTTCTAGGTAACTTATTTTAACAATGATCTCTTTAAGAATTAACATTGAAAGATGTGGGATTTAAGTTGTTTGATTTTGAGCCTGGTTATAATTTTGTGATTTCTTTGAAATCTCACCATGGAATTTAGAAACAAGATAAATTCTATCCACCTATCCATCCACACACTCAAAATCTGAATTTGTATTAAATCAACAATTAGCACAAGCAAATGACTTACGGTTG